AATAGCATTTGAACTATATTAATGAAGTCAGTCAAGTTAAAAGATCAACTCATTGAAGTCATTAGAAACATAATGAACTCACCACCACCATTAAGTCGGCCAAAGCAATGAAATCAAGCACACTCAGCCCTAGGGTAGACTCAAAAAGTAAACTCAACATTAATTCTCTATGTATTATTGGCCATAAATGAGGTGAATTCTTTTATTTCACAACAAGAATTTCTTAAGCATTACTATGTAATTTTACTTGTATTGCTCAAATAGATTATCTTTTTTTTTCATGGCATTGTACCTCGACCCAATCAAATGACTAGGGGGCTAGAGGTAGAGCCTTGTACATGCAATTGTTTGATCAATCTTCATACTTTCTTTGCAGTCCAGTAAAATCTCAGAGCTTCTAACTCTATATTCTCTTCTCTCTCATTTTTTCTCTTATTTCTTAGTCATTCTAATTAGTAAGATTTTAGTGTTGCTCAAAAATAAATTTAGATCCAACAAATTTAGCATAATTCATAAATATGAGATGACTCAACTAACTTGACTCCTACAATATTGAATGTACAATGTTGATTCTATCTAAGACATGCAATCTATTCATTTATGTCCTCCTAAATTATAAAATTGCCCTCCACTAACAAAACAAAACAATCAAAACAAATGTTTTCCATATACTTTATTGTTGCTTTTGCTATATTTGTGCTAAATTATTTGCTATATAAATGCCTACACTCAACTAAAATTTTCTCAGCTTTTTGCCTATCATAGAAGCACTATTGCCCAATAGTTGATTGATGGGATTGCACCATTGAAAATTTATTGATCAATCAGATCCAACAACTTTTGTGTTGGTTGCACCAATCCTAAGCAAATATGTTCATGTTGCATCCACTTAGAGTTTAAAGTACAATGAAACTTTACTTTAGCCCATTGATCACAATTTATGTTCATTAATATTTGATATTTTCTCAAAATCACTCATTATTATTAGGGTTACACTCACGAAAAGCTTGTGAACTAGTTGGTAAAGTGAATTTGAATAAATTTATGATAAAAAATAATATAAATTATACTTGTACTCGTAGCTCACTGATCGAGAAAATTAGTGGATTCTAATGAGCTAAATTTGAGCACTCATCCTGTCAAAAAAATAATGAATTACATCAAATGAATTTGAATAAACTTTTCCTTGAAACAAATTATTTAAACCCTTTAACTACTATACTAAAATTAAATTTGTACAACAATAACAACATCAAGCCTTTATCCCACTACGTGGATCAGCTACATGAATATTTTTTCTCTATTGTGTTAAGAGTCAAATTCTCATTTAAATCTAATAAAAAATATAATTTCTAATACTTTCTAATCCGAATCTTTTTAGGTCTACCTCTATCTTTCTTAATATATTACTCTTATAACTGGATCATTAGAAGACCGACATTTCTAAATAACTAAAACATCTAAGGCGACTCTCTCTAATCTTATATGCCATTGGAGCTACTCCAACCTTTTCACATATATACTCGTTTTATATTTTGTCTCCAAGAGAAAAATCACTGATCCACCTGAGCATCATCATCCCTACAACACTTAATTACTAAAGTTTAATTTGTAATAGGATCTTATTGGCTGAGGAGCTTTCTTCAAGCCAAACACAAAGAACAAAAATCCATTTGTATCCATCATTAATTAATGAATTTAGCCTAAATAATACCAACCCCTTATATGTTCATCTATATCCAAATTGCCAATATATTTTAATATAAGTTATGTTAAGATGGGAAGATAAAATATAAATAATAAACAAACATTCAAATATAAATAAAAAAACAACACTAAAGAATGAATTATTTACATTAATGCCCATTTAAGATTATTTTTTTAAATATATTTTTAATTATTTTAAATTATCCAAAACAACTATAAATTATTTTGAATGTTTTAAAAATAATTATTAGCATTGATTGGCCATTATTGCCTAACCGTCATATAAATCAAATTTCTAATATTTAATAAAAAATAATTTTATTTTATATTAAAATATGAATAATATCAAATAGAAACAATTATAAAAAATTAAAAAGAACTCAAATCCTTTGTTAAATATTTAATTAATATATTCTAATTTGATTTTCACCCAAAAAAATGGATATCAGAGGGTACACTCCACAAAAATGTTTGGTTAAGTAGGCATCGCTTAATCATTCACTTAGCCATAATAACAAAAATTAGTCCCATAAATCCTTCCAACAAAATGTTTAACAAAAACAAATAATATTTTCCCTATTAAATGAAGTGATTGACAATAATGGCTAGCTTTTAGAAACTATCTTTCAAGACAAGACAATTTATATTTTTATATTTATTCTTTTAAAAATTATTTTTTCAACAAAAAAATTAAATCTATTTTTCAAAAAATAGCTTTTGTAATATATATATATAGCGATGGCTTTTACAAACATATATTCATCATTTTTTGTTGGTTGTTTACTTAACACAAAAATAATAAAAAAATATCCCAAATAAAACATTAAATTTCATTTGGGATAGCTTTCTTGCTATTTTGTTAAACTGCTATAGAAAAAGTAAAATTTTAAAGCTGTTATAGAAAACAGCTTCATCGTACAATTTTTTTTGAAAGCGCTGAAAAATAGTGATTAAATAGAAATTATGATTATGATTTGAAAAACGAAGCAGTAAGAAAACTGTAAATTATCCCAATTGAAGTCATAAGGCATCTCCAACTGAACGTCATTCTTCTGTTTATTGCTCCAGGGAACGTCCACCCGAACGCCAAATGAAAACACGTTTTTTGCATTTTATCTGGGCTATGAGCAATGCGATGCTTATTCAGAAACCCTTTTATTTTAATTTGTTAATTAGAAAATTATCCTAAAATTATTAAATTTTAGCATATTAAGCCCAAATATATTAGTTTAACTTATGTTATAGATTTTATAATTTTAATATGTTTAATTTTTTATATGATTAATTTATTTAAATTAGGTTGCTCATTTTAAATAATTTAAAATGCAATAGCATAATTAATAGAATGTTAATATATAAATTAAAATAAAATCCACATATATATTTAAATGATATTGAATAATAAAAAAATACATATTTCTTAGACAATATAATAACAAATGATAAACGAAAATAAAAATACATAACCAACAGTGACAACAAAATGTAGTTAATGATAAATGAAACTAAAGTAACTAATACTGATAATCCAATAATCTGGAAGACCTTTCTAGGATCCTTCAAAATTATTGAAATATTGTCCAAATGAGTTGGATAAACAAAGTGGTTGTTGATCTCATTGTTGTTCAATCCTCTTTTATAAAATTCATTCTTGTTCAGCTTGGACAAATACATAAACATTGGGATCATATATGGAACTCAAGTCTTGTAATAAGGCTTTGTTTTTTTTTTCCTTCCTTTCTTTCAAGGCATAATTCTTATTTTGAAGCTCCAAGTGGTATTATCTTCATGCATTTGTCTTTTTTAATTACTCAATAAATTGTTTATTTTCATCTTCGAGAGTGTTGAAGAAGGTTGAATTTGATCATTAATTTTTCTTTTTAATTTTGTTTACTTATCTCAATTGGTCGTTCAGATGGAGCACCGCCAGCATTGTATTTGTCTTATCTAAATTTAGAGAGAATGCAAACAATCTAGGATATGGTTGTCTAGTGTATCCAAGGGTGAGATGTTTTAACTCTTATGAGGCATACCTGAAGCTCGTCCTTCTCTTGAAGTTTTTTAAAAATTTTAATAGTGTTCTACACATGATCAAACTTTCAATCTGATTTGAACTTTTTTATCTTGCGCAAGCAACGCTTTCAGTTGATTTAACTGTAAATCGATATAAACAATGGTGATGTATGCTCACACCATTACATTTAAAAATGTATTGATTGATCATTTGTGAGAGCAACATACTAATTTTGATGTCCCATTGCATGTATTTTTTTTTTCATTTCTATTTATGAGTTCTAATATAATTTTCGTTTTATTTAATAAATATTTATTTTATTAAGTGCATATTTGCATTTCAAAATAATTTATTGAATAACATTTATTTTATTTAAAAAAATTATATTATGGTCTAATTTGAAAAATTAATAAATATAAGAATATGATTGAAAAAAATATAACAACTGAGATGAGAAAAAAATTTACACAGAATAATCTTTTTAATGTTAGAAATGGAGTTCCATTGATAATGAATATTACTAAATTTTAAATTTTGCTGTGGAAAATAGGTTTTTTGATTGAAGAAGCCCTTAGAGTCTACAATTCCTTTATAAAGATGATTGAAAAATTATTGCAAGAAAAGCTTTTTAGCAAAAAATCTTTTGACAATAGCAAACAAATAATAGCCGACCAAAACTGTGATTGATATATTAAAAATAAATCAGTATGAAAATTATCTCAAATAGTTGATCATTTTCTTCTTCGCTGAAGACCGTCCTTAACATCAAATCTAGTTTTCAGCTCTTGCGCCATGATTTAATTGTAGAAGTTGAATCATCCGATTCAAGTGAACTATCTTTGATTGTCTCCAAACAAATTTAATTTTAAGCTGCTAATTTGACTTGAGCAGAACAGATTTGGGATAAAATTGATTTGAAACTGCAATAAAAGATAGAACTTCAAGTCTTCAATGAAGGGATTGATCCCATGCCTCTCGAAAAGAAGAAGAAATCACTCGTAAAAAGCTAATAATTTATTCATACATTAAATCAAGCATGCGTTATCAAATAGATTTTTTTGGGTTGAGACCTAAAGGAATTTAAACCAATTGAATCGCTTATACCTAAATAATGAACTTGAGATGAAGTTCCAGATTGGATTGAAAATTGAGAAATTAATAAACTGGTTTTTGATCTTATGAAATTAGCATCGATTCAAGTTGAAACTTTCAATCTTCCCCCAGCAAAACCAATGAGGAATAAACAGAGACGATTCACAGTAATCCAAGCAGCCAACAATTTCCAAAACTTTAAAATTCAGGCTCAAAACATAAAATTACTAGGAGGAAAGGGTTAATAATCTGTACAGTAACACAAACCGGTTGGATTTCTTCAAGATTTCTAGTATACACATCGCAAAAGATGAAGATGATGAAGAAGAAGAAGAGTAGAAGTAGCGGTGGAAGATGAAGAAGAGCGAGGGATAACTTGGTAGCGTCATCACACCATACCCTTCGTCTGTACAAGACACATAAACCAAACATAACAGCGCACCAGAACATAAACAACAAGGAGAACCTACCACCCATGATGCCTCCGCAAGTGCAAGGCCCACTTCACCACACCCGAAAAACTTCTACACCGATGCCTCCTCCGCCCGCGAGAACATCATCGGGAAGAAGGTGCGAACGGCAGAGTGGACAAGTGTCCTTTCGGTAATCCAGCCACCTCTCAACGCAGCTCTTGTGGAACAGATGCCCGCAAGGCAACCTGTTCACCACAGAGTTCGAATCGAACCGAACCAGGCAAACCCGGCAATCGGCGTGCCATTCCGCTGTCCGCCGGCGGCCGATTGCCGATCCAAATGTCACCGGCTTTACCCTGCTCCGAAACTTCTCCGTCAAACTCAACTCCTCAGATGCCGCGGGCAACAGCTCCGGCGTTCCATCCGCCCCATCCAGCGACAGACCGAATAGGTGAAGCACAGATCGGAAAATCTCTTTCAAGATCGAGATCGTGAGCGCGGTGTTGACCAGAAGCAGAGTGAGCATCCCCTCCGATGGGGTCGGCAGGCTTGAAATCCCCATCGCCGCCGGATCGCCAGACCTAAGCAAAACCCCTCTGAGATCTACAATTGAAACCATAAATCAAAAGTATCAGTTCAAATTCGATACAACTTTGAAGAAGGAATCGAGATCGGAAAGTTGAGATCGTTATCTTACTATTGATTCCTTCGAGATTCGCAGTTGAAACCACCCAGATCGGACGGAGATCGAAGATCGAGTAATGGGGAGGAAGAAGGGCTCGCCATACACAGGTTAAATAGCCGTCGGTGTCTTAACCCTCTTCAGCTAACCGTGATTAGTTGGGTCGCTTACTCACCACAGGTTTCATGATCACTTCGCTTTCCAGTAGTCCACTTGCAGTTTGGCAACTTTCGTGATAAATGATAACTATAAACATGTCGCACCCGAATAAATGGTTTGTTAATATGGGTGGTTAGTTTTAAGCTCTGATTAGAATTATAATTAGTTAACCGCTTGTAAATATTTTGTATTTATGACGCCGTAAGATTACGTTTAAGCGAACTGTTTATGCCGCGCATGTGGGTTAAACCTGCGAGTTGTTAAAGATTTAGTTTAGGAGAACAAGAGGTCAGGGTCAATTATATTGTGCTAGAATTATTTGTGATGATAAATAAAATTTAGTATTTTAATATTGAGCAAAAAATTCATGTATATGAATAATTTAATAGCTGCTCATTAGGAGAAATTAGATTTTTTTTTTCTACATTTAAAATTGAATTAAGAAAATCTCGAAGTTTATTCTAGTTAAAATGATTTTACTAATATAAGTCAAATAATATAAAAAAATATTTTTTTCTCAAAACTAAAAAAATATAAAATATGAAATAAGACATGTAATATAAAATATAAATTTTTAGGTGGAACAGAGCTTTAGAGATACTTGAATTGTCAATAGTTGATGGTTCATAATCATCTATTACTCTTCTTATTAGAAGGGCGATCAGTTATTAGAAAGATGGACATTGGATGTCAATGATGAATAGATATTAAGCATCAATCATTGGCAAGTGTTGTGTTATGATCTATTAAGAACATTTGAAGTTAGCAATAGTTAATGGAGTGTTGAAAGTGAGGTGATTGATGTCTTGAAAGGTCGAAATCAAATGCATTAAATGTATGCATATGATAAAAGTTGGAAACTAGAGTGCATCTAACAATGGCCAAATCTGAATGGCAAATGTTGGGAGATGGTTTGTGGCCAGCAAATAAAAAAGCAGGCATTAAACATTCATGGTTGATAAGCATTAAATATTACAAATATCGAGTAACAACTGCGAGAATGTTGGATTTATATCAATGGTTTATGGTGGCGTTATGTTCTCATTATAAGAAAGGATGTCAATAATCTAAAATGAGAGCATTAGACGCTAGCTTGTGGACATCATATGTGAATTCTTGGTATGCATATAGTGACAGTTGATAAGTAATATTAGAGGCTGAGTGATGGCTTTTGTTGATCATCAAAGTCTAGTAATGTTTGGCAATCTAACTTTGTCCTTCTCCTTATATGACAAAAGATAGGACAATCTGGAAAGATGGTGTCAAACATTGATTATTGATTGACTATAGGTGATGGTGATGATCAATGTTGATAAATGAGCATCAATGTTAGTCAATAGATGGGCATTCTCATGTGTAATAGTTTGTATTTTGGCCTAGTCAAATAATTTTTTTCAGGAGTCAATATAAGTCCAAATTACAATTCATCTTCATCATAGCATTGATATTATAGAATTTTAATTACACAATTTTTTTTCATAATTTTTTAGCATTGGTTAAAATTCTTAAGAAATTGACACATACTGTTAAAAGTGGAGATTTTGGGATCATCAAGTATCCGTTTTGCAAACTCATTTGACTAGAGTTTCTAAATAAACTGTAATATTTTATGAATATTTTTCAATAATTTTTGAAGCCCCAACAAAATTTATGTGAATTTTATCTTGAATATTAATTAAATTATATAATTATATTAATTATTATAATATTATTTTATTATAATAACTTAAGCCACTATCATTAAAATCCCATTTGCCTCATTTGGTTTTTGTTTTCAAAAGCCAGAGAAAGGAATGGAAAATTTAGTGAGAAAAGAGAATAGAGATAAAAAAAACTTAGGTTTTGAAGACCGTAGTGTGATTTTCCTTCATTGTGTTGGTTGGGAGATTTGTTTGTCTTGATGCAAGGAACATTTACCCTATTTTTAATTTCAATAATTTTATATTTGTGGTATTTTTCTGATCAAATTTGTATTTTTATTATCAAAAAATGAGGATAATTTTGTATTGGTAAAACTTTCACCCCATAACTTTTTATATGTTATAAAGCTTGAAATTATGAAGATTTTGAGTATTTATTTGAAATTTTTCACTAGGTGATTTTGAAAATGTAGTAGTTTTTGCCAATTTAAAAATGTATTTTGACATATAAAATTAGTGCATTAGTTTGATTATACCTTCAGAATGTTATTTTATACAATCTTTAATAATTTGATAAATTTTTTAAAATATGAATTTTTTGCTTAATAAAGTTTTTTGTTGCTTACCATTATGTCATTTTGGCACTTTCTAAATTAAAGTGTAATTATGCTTTGTACTGCATTACATTGAAAATTAATGTGAATAGATGATTGAGTAATAATTGATTGTTATTACTGTTGAAATATTGTGATAGTGATATACACGAAAATAAGCAAAGACTGGTTATTCACTAACATTAGCTGCAGACTGACCGACTTGTATATGATGGTTGGCCGATAGACTTTCATTTAAATATTGTAATTTGGTGTTATCCTCGATTGATTCACATGATACTGATTGAGAGTTTTATAAGGAGTTATTACTATACCAACTAAAAAAGAGTGACGACTATGTTTACTATGCTAATGGGTTTCTGATACTAACACTAATACTGGAAAGACACCGTTGCAGCCAGGATCTTTACTTGTTTAATATAATTATTAAAATGCATGATACTGAATTACTTCCATTATATAGCTTTATTGTTACTTCCACCCATGACACTAATGTTACTACTATTCTATTGTTATTAATATGTTGATCACGTGATATATATTGAGCATATATAATAGACACTGACATTGTGTTGACATTGATATGATATTTTTGAGCATGCGATACACATATATAGTTATTTTTATATAATTTTATTGCATTGACATGATTTTGATAATATTTATTGATATTTTAATTTGATGTTTTATACAATTGTTATATTAATTGTAGTATTGATATGATAATTGCTTTAGTGATTTGATACATGTACTAATTTACTAATTTATCTATTGTATTGCCTTATGATCATGTAAATGACATTGTTATGATTTGATTGCTGACTTGCACATTACTCCTTTACCTTGTGTTGAGTTTAGTTGTAGGTTTTCGTAACCTGTTAGGATTTTTAGATAATTATATGTTATTAAATATTTTCATATCATGGTAGAGGATTAGGTGTGTGAGATTGATCAGATCAAAATTCCTTGGGATCTATTTTTTGTTTTAATTATTTTTTTATACTCAGGATAGAGTAGTAGTATGATTGTATAGATCTTGAGTAATATATATGATTGTTTTTTAAAAAATGAATACATGTGTACATATAAATATTTTGAATTCTAGAATTATTTTTGTTGTTTATTTTTTATAAATGAAGTTAGATAGCTATGATGTTATTTCTTATAAGATAAAAGAATAATTCTTTAAATTAGATTATGGGGCGTAACATCATGGGTGGACGATGGGCCTTGAGGTTGGTTGATGAGGTCCTCGATGTTTGTCAATGCGGGCCTTAGTATTGGTTGATGAGGACCTCATTATATGCATATAACAAGCATTGACATTATTCAATAGCCTATATTAAAGGAGTTGATGACAAGTGTCAATATTGTTCGATGATCGGGTTAGTTGCTCAAAAGTAGAGCACTATAATTGTTGCTAATGCCCCCTTGATGTGTAGAATTAGTTGCTATTTATATTTTTTTAGAGGGAGAATTCTAGAGTTTTTTGTCATTATGACACTCAATTGGATTGTTAAGGTTGATCTCCTTTGATCATTTAATATTTCATAAATATGTGATGTCTTAGTGAACTCAAAATTCAATAATCTTAGACTAATTTGATTTGTCTCATCAAAGCCATCATTTTGACTAGAAGAATTAAAATTTTAGAGGTCATTAAGTCTCTCATATTGTCTCATGAAGATACTAACTATATTTTTTAGTGCTTAATTTAAACTTATTTGGACTCAGATCAACATACTTTTGATATAATCGGATTAATCCCATTGAGATTCTAACTATACTTATGATAACATTTTTTGATGTGTTAATGTTTCTACTTGATATGTTCTATTGACATGTTAACCTATTAAATATATCAATAGGCACAACATTTTTTACTTAAAATGTCTTATGTTATATTAACATGTTGCCACTACATTCAAATGATTTGAAATTGATATATGATAAACTTTTAAAATAATTATAATACATAACTTGGCTTAACTTCTCTCAATAAAATTGCCTTTGCACATTCATAAAAGTAATCGGTAAATACTAATAGGAACATATGTCCATAGGAAGGGAACAATTATTACGTCCGGACACCTGATGTAGCTCTACATCCGGAGGCCAATAGCATGTCGCCACGTGCTCTTACTCTTTACAGCGCTGCCCGATGACCTGACCTAGACCGGAACCCGGTATTGCTATGTAACAAATTGCTTGACATTAATGAGAAATACCACTCTGTCAAGATCAATACCTAGCAATACCGAGCAATACCTAGCAAAATCGGGGTATTGCTCGGTATTGCTAGGTATTGGTCTTGACATAATGGTATTTCTCGTTATTGACGAGCAATATCGAGCAATACCTTGCAATACCCTGGTCAGCACAAATCAACCAATACATAGCAATCCCGGGTCCGATCTGGGTCGGGTCGTCGGGCCGCGCGGTAAAGAGTAAGAGCATGTGACACCATTTTACTGGCGTCCGAACGTAGAGCTACGTCAGGACACCGGACCTAATAAAAATTCCTAGGAAGGATGATTTACATGCCCCTAGCTTTTAAAAATTCAAGAGGTTATTATTAAATGAAGTAAATTTGGTAAATAGCTATTGATTTGACAATGATGGGAAGTGCCTATACAATTCTAATTCACCGAGGGCCAACAATATCCAATGTGCTTAGTTTTATATTTTATTTTGGGTTAGACTAGTTAGCTCTACATAATCCAACATGAATAATGCAATAATATTTGACCAAATGAATAATGGAAC